ATTTGTAAATACACACAAAAAACAGAAATAAAGTTCAGTCGTTGTATTAAGATCTCACTGTAAAAGTCATTCAGAAACAGAGCACGTTTGTTTTATAACAAAATCTGCCCAAACCTGGAGCTAATTCAACTGTTGTGTTTAGCTTTACTGAGCAAATGTAATCCTTTAACGTAATTTAGCTACCATTTTAGCATTTGTGTTTTTTTAGCTAGCTGGGGACCATGGTAGCTAAACGTTCAGTGTTCTTTTGTAAAAGTTTTATTAACTTGAATCAGATTTACACAATACTGTTCTAAATATTAGGAATATGTAGCGCTTTGTAGCGCGTGTATCTAAGCTAACTTTAGGCTACATTTGTTCTTACTTGTAATTGTCATTTGTTGGTTATTTTCGACTCTTCATCGAGGAGTATATCATTTTTCACCTTCTTGTTTTTGTTGTCGTTTTCATGGCTAACGTCTCTGGCTAACAGCAAAACAGTAGAGCTATGCTATTGCGGTTAGCCAAAAGCTAATGTTGGAGGTACTGATCCCACAGAGCTGCTGTGAAGAAAGACTGTAGGTTTAATCCAAGTACATTTGTGAGAAAGCTGCTGAGAAAGACTGTAGGTTTAATCCAAGTACGTTGTTGTTGTGAGAAAGTTGCTATTTTATAATTGTCAGTTTGACCGTGGGTGTGTGTGTGTGTGGGTGTGTGTGTGTGTGTGGCCTGTGTTTTGTCACGTGACCATCAGTGTGTGTTCTGCCCAGTGCCTGAAGCAGAAATAAGCATGAAATCTGGGGCTATATTTGTTCACAGAACACAGCCAATTTCACAGAGCAGGTGTGTGTGTGTGTGTGTGTGTGTGTGTGTGTGTGTGTGTGTCGGAAGTTGTTAGTTGTAATTCACGCTATTTATGTTCTCGGAAATACTGGAAGAAGCAGTTCCTGTTAGCTAAATTCGTCGATGCACACACACACACACACACACACTCACACGGGTACACACACACACTGCCGTGGGTACACACATTTGGTACTACAATCGTGTGTACCAGTACTTTAATATTGATACTGTGTGTTTTGGCCTGGTTGACGACAGCTGACGTTCTGTTCTTCCCATCATGCATTTATTCGATCAGTGTTGTGAAGCTGCTGACTCACCTGTTCCTGTAGGGTTGGGACACACACACTCTCACACACTCACACACACACACACACATACATGCACCTGTTGCTCGGTCCTCCTTAGGTTTCTATCAACAGTTCACTGCTGTGATCCCATAACGTCTCTGTGTTGATTTTCAATAAATATCCATCCATTTCCATCCACTTATCCGTTACCGGGTCACAGGGGCAGCAGTCTCCATGACCACCACCCAAATCACACTGCACCGTACCAACGGCGCTAACCAGGATTTGATCTTCACCCAGGAGGTGAACCCTGGAGTTCCACACCAATGACAGAGACACCACCTCTGGACCAAAGATCCACTCAATAAATATTTTGAGCTTACTGGGCCAAAGAGCCACTCAATAAATATTTTGAGCTTATTTTTTTCTGTTCATGTCTCCGAAGGTCAAACGTTCAAATCTTTTAACCAAAGAAACGCTCAGCATCACATCACTCCTCCACAGGGGTTTAACGTTGCCTGATTGATCAGAGTCGTCAATGGACAACACCATGTTGGTTAAATGATGTCTTTAACAAAATTCATTTATTTGTTTATAGACAACAGGGGCAAAAAAGAAAAGAAAAATTACCTCGAATTTAGATTTCAGTTTTATTTTGCCAAATGTCCCCTCACTGTGACAAAGAAACAGTAAAGGCCTGGATGAAACCTTGAAGTTTCCCAGACAGTTAAGGCATCACTGAATGTTGGCAAGACCTTTTGCAAAAATTCAGTTTTAAAACTGATTATGTTCGATTGGATTCATTTTACCAACACTTCACAGTCCTGACCTGACGACATCCTTTGGGGTACAGTAGTACCTGGGAAAGTACTCTCCTTGATGTGTATCCTGAACTGTACAACATTCCTGACTCTTTCTAGAGACATCTCCATCCTTAAAATGACATTTCTTCTTTTTTGTATTCAAATATTTGAAGTTGTGTTGATTGAAATCTCACATCTGTCGCCACAGCGCCTGTCATTCAGACAGGATAAGAGCAGACAGCTGCCCCGCGGCATCTGTCCTCCGTCCTGACATGCGTCCACTCATCTCTTAAGACAGAGTTTTATGATCGCGCGCGTGCGTCGGTGGCGTTGATGAGGGTCAGCGGAGGACGCTGGGTCAGAGGTCAGGAGGGCGCCGACCTCATCGTGTTCATCTGTTGATAGACACCAGACACAGCTTGTGTAACGTTGTCCCAGGCAGAGATTAGGTAAACGGTGGATGAAAAGAAGACACAGTGTGTGGCCTGTGTTTTTACCTGGTATTGTAGTATATTTATGAGGACAGTTTTTTGAAAAACAAAAAAAACTGTTGTTGTGTACAGTGTTTAAAGGGTTAAGATGAGAATGACGGTCAGATTAGAGTTAGGATTAGACAGATTTGTGGGGGGTTTAGGTTTAGGGGAAGGGTGAGGACCTTGGTTTG